AGCTGCCAGTTCTGCTGACTGTCACCTGAATTATATCATGGATTTCAGTATCACAGGCTTCTCATCTGCATTGAAAATTGGAAGCAGAAGCAAAAGACGGGTTTGATAATAACTGAAAAAGCTCCAAGTCTTAGCCAAAAAAAAAGAGAAAAAGAAAAGAAACAACAAAACAACCAAACCCCACAACATTTTGGGGGCATTTGGGGGTTTTTTTGTTGGTTGTTTTTTTTTTTTTTTGCTATAATCTAATTGTGGGTGTTTGGGACAAAGTTTTTTGTTTGAGATACACAGTACTGTATTGCACACAAATAACATTTTCTTCCTTTTAATAATTAATTAAACAGCATTTCTGTAGCCTTTAGAGCTGGAAGGTCGCTAGCGAACAGTGGCACACTTGGAGTCTGTCAGTTTAATTTTACACTCAGTTTATTCTGTTTATAATGACATAACAACTAGTTTAATCACAAAAAAGAAATACAAACTGAATGGGCTACGGAGAAAGACAGGACTTGGCCTCAGAAGCTGTTCAGCTATTTCATCTAGGAAACAAAATCAATACCAGACGGCAAAAGAAAATCTCCAAGGTCCGAAGAGCAGCGGTGGTGCAAGGAAAAGTCTTCTGAGCCCAGGAAACTGCAGCGTATTTTGGCTGTAGTTAAGGGTGGATTATTAAAACAACCCAACCTAAGTGCAAAAGAAGACAGAGCCATGTTTGTAAGAGGTGCAGAGTCACAGCTGACTCCTCAAGGTGTTTTTTTTTAAGGCGCCCAAACTTTTAATTCACTTCTGCAAATGCTCCTTTGGATGAGAAAGTGCCGCTGTCCAAGCGAAGGCTGGTGGAGATGCAGAGGATTCATGTTCTCCTCTGCTTGTGTGGAGAACAGACTACCCAGCAGAGGACTGAGGCTGCTGATTTTGGAGGAGGGAGGTTACCTGCAGAGCATCAAATGTGTCTGAAATGCACTAAGGCTGCTGGGTCAAACCAACAGCCATGGGTGCCAACGATGACGCGGGGAGAGGCCGTGCTCCTCCAAAGCTCTTTGTTGGTGATGGTGCCTGTGTGCTCATGAGGTCAACAGCTACCTCCAGCGTGGAGCAACAGGAAGATGATGTTTCAGTGCTGTTTGATTTCTTCACTGCCTTTCACGTGCTCTGTCTCTGTTCTTCATTCCATCCCCCACACGGTCACTTGCCACCAGCTGCTCACGTGGATCCCCAGAGAAAATGAGCTACTGGCACTCGAACAGGACATGGAGACTGATGGAGCCTTCAAAGTCCTACTCGCTGTAGTGGGATTTCATCAGATTCGGTGGTCACGGTGCCACAGCCAGCACTGGAATTGCAAATTTTTTCACTTCTGTTTAGTTTAAAGGACTTCCACAGCCTTTGGGGCTGGAACCTTTTTTAGATGCTCTTTGCTAACACTGTCGCAATCACTTTCCTTTGAGCTTTCTTGCAGAGGCCACAGCCAGAAACTGATGCTTCCCATTTTCACTGAAGCATCGTCATGTTTTCACAGAATCCCAGAATGGCCTGGATTGGAAAAGCCCTTGAAGCTCATCGAGTCCAACCATGAACCCAACACTGACAAGTCCCTGACTAACCCATGTCCCTCAGCACTGTGTCTACACGACTCTTCAATCCCTCCAGGGGTGGGGACTCCACCACTGCCCTGGGCAACCTCTTCCAATGCCTCAGAACCCTTTCAGCAAAGAAATTTTCCTTTAGAATTGTGTCTTAAAATTCATTTACTGTCTATCTTGATGCTCTTGTGACCGTCTTTACCCAGGAAAAGCTGCTGCATCTCACCACAGAGCATTGATTTAACTGCAGGGCTGTTCCAGTTCAGCACTGGAGTACCAGTACCAGGGAAAGCTAACAAACAACTTCACATCTGTCACAAGGCTGGAAAACCAAGACAGGGAATTCTTTTGTTGTTGCTAAACGCTGCTGGAAAGTAAACTTTGATTTAAAAGTACAATAGAATACTCATTAAGGATCATTAAAACTATTTCCTGGTATCTCCTAAGCACACTTCCTACCTCGAGGAATTGTGCTTTTTTAAAGCACAGACTGCAGCTCCGAACAAGACCCACATTTACAACAAAAAACATGTTGGAAACAATTCTTAATACATTCAGATTTGCACCAAACTATTATCTGTGCAAATGTTCTGCCAATTTTGGGCAGAAGCAACATGGGGGGATGTCCCTGCGGGATGGTGGCTATCAGGTCTACCCCCTACTGTTTGTCCTGTCAGTGTTTGCCCTGCGCTTTCACAGACTCAGTCCCATCACTGTCTACACCAAAAGCTGTAACTCTTTCCAGGATACAATACAAATCTCCTCCTCCTCTTTGTAGCAGGCTGGAAAAGTGGGTTCCACAACTGGGAATTCTGATTCCTGGGATAAGGCATCACATGTGGCAATTCAGCTGCTGCTGCCTTGTAAAGAAGGCAGGCAAAGAACTTCATTTTAATTTGTATAATTTTATTAAATTTAAATAAACAGTCACATGTATATCACATAGCTAAAAATATCCCATGGTGAAATAATTGGGTTTATCAAGCATTTGAGTGCATTATGTCCTTCACTTACTCTGCACTTTATTGCTATTGCACAACAAATATTTAGAAAGGGGGAAAAAAAAAGTCTTCAGCTATGAAGAAGCAAAGATGGAAAACTGTTCCCTGCTTAAAACTGTTCCCTATTTAAAACTATTCCCTGCTTAAAACTGTTCCCTGCTTAAAACTGTTCCCTATTTAAAACTGTTCCCTGCTTAAAACTGTTCCCTATTTAAAACTATTCCCTGCTTAAAACTGTTCCCTGCTTAAAACTGTTCCCTATTTAAAACTGTTCCTTATTTAAAACTATTCCCTGCTTAAAACTGTTCCCTATTTAAAACTATTCCCTGCTTAAAACTATTCCCTACTTAAAACTGTTCCCTGCTTAAAACTGTTCCTTATTTAAAACTGTTCCCTGCTTAAAACTGTTCCCTACTTAAAACTGTTCCTTATTTACAACTGTTCCCTACTTAAAACTGTTCCCTACTTGGAAGGAACCACCTTCCAGCTCTCATTATTCCAGCTCTCTGTGCTGGGGAGAAAGGAGGAGAGAGTGGGAGGAGATGGCAAAGCCACAGCAAGGCTGGGCAGCTGGTTTGTGTCGCTCCGTTTGGAAGAGGTGGCCCTGGTAGGTGGGATTCCTTGAATGTCTCCCTGTAAAAGGAACATTTCTTCTTAAAAAAATAGGTATTTGACTGTGGTGGAGCTACTGCTCAGCCTCTGTATGAGAAATGCTTTCCAAACTCCTAACAAGGTTTCAGTTCTTTTTATGAAGAGTTGAAAACGCTGCAGTTTTTACCCAGGAACTGATTTACAGCATTCCATGAAGCCTATTATTTTAGCTTTGCTTCATCTTAAAAGAAGAGGCAATGAATGTCAGGAACCACTGTAAAAGTGCTTTCAGAATTGAAAGCTCTCAGATCATTTATGGAAAGCCACCGTCTCAAGACTCACAAACTTTATTGACATGAAAAAAACAACCCAACAAACCAAGGGACATTGGAAAAGGTCATTTCAAAATTTCCAAGATTGCTTCACGCGGATATTTTGGGATTGATAAGGAAATGCTCTTGGGGAAAACGCTGTTCCATAGGGTGTGCCAGACAAGCACTAAGTAGGTCTGATTCTTCTGGTTTCCTCTTCCCATGGATCTGCTGACTATCTGACAGTAGATTGTGGCACGAAAGGAGGAAGGATGGCTTTTCCCTTTTCTCCTCTCCCTCCCTCACCTTCTTTCACCTCACCTTGTGCTTTCCTTCTTGCTTTCCTAGTGCCTTGCGTGTTTGCAGCCTCCAGTCTACATCCGTGCCTGTGCAGAAGATGACAACACAGCACATTTTTTTCTCTGGATTTTTAATGGATAGCTTAAGGGTTTAAGACTTTTTTCACACATGAATACAGAGACCAGAAAGCCGATAGTCCAAGTGGATAAAATTGGGGCAAAGCTTAGAAAAACTAAATTCTTCCAGAAACAAAAAACATTCTTCGAATGGATCTTGTGTTGCCAAACAACCCCTACAGGCGTGTTTTTTTAAAAGGTAAACCCTGTCTTTTCAGAAGATAGGCACATCTTCCAGCAGCTCAGCTATGAACTACCTTTTATGTCCTTTTAATTTCATTTGATGTCCAATTTAGCTCCATCCCAGTCTGCAGAACATGAGGTATTTAAAAGATACATAGATGTGGTGCTCAAGGACATGGTTTAGTGGGCACAGTGGTGTTGGAGTGGATCATCTTAGAGGTCTTTTCCAATCTTAATGATTTTTAATATATTAAATCTAAGGATAAAGGAATTTTTTCTGACCCTTGATAGGTTGCCCAAGGAAGCTGTGGCTGCTCCTCCCTGGAAGTGTTTAAGGCCAGGCTGGATGAGGCTTTGAGCAACCTGGTCTAGTGGAAGGTGTCCCTGCTGATGGCAGGGGGGTTGGGACTGGATGAGCTTTAAGGTCCCTTCCAACCCAAACCATTCTATGATTCTATGATTCTATGAAGCAGCAATTTGAGACTTGTATTCTGGTGCCTTCTAATGAATGTAAAGGAGGAAAGTCCTTAATAAATCCACCAGGTGATAGCGTTGGGTTTTTGAAATCATAGCTTTTCTCTTTAGGTGTTTCAGACAGAATTCACCAGCAGAAGGTCTGTGCATTCTGCTGGGCCCTGGAGGCCACAGATTGCAGAATGTTTGGGGAGGGAACTTCACCCCTTGGAACAGGAGCAAAAAAACCCCATAATCTGTCGTGCATTTAATCCCAAATTTAGTTTCTAATGGAAACCCAGGGAGTGTGGCCCAACACCTGGCTTCCAGGGAAGGACCATGTAGTGTTAGGCACACAGAATTCAAAGCCTGTGGGCCATTTTGAAGAGCTTTGGCACTCAGCAGGATTAACCTTGCAGCCTTGGCACAGTGTCCCCCAACAGGGCACAATTCAGCAACTTTCTCTTCATGGCTCATATAAATCTGGTTTGTTTTAACTGGGAAGTCGGCTATAAAGAGACATAAAAACATCAAACAAGCCTACATCTAAAATGTGGAGTTTAGAATTAAGTAGTCACTTCACAACCACAGGCCATACGTAGAAAGATAACTGGTAGTAAATTTGTTTATTTAAACTCAAAAAAGAGGAAACAATAAAAATGTTAATTTGAAAAATGTAAACTAATTATTATTTCCTCTAATGGCATCTATCGCCTTCCAGAATCCTCTGAGAGACAATAAAGGAACAGTCAGATAAATCCAGTTGAACCATGAGGTGTTGTGGAATGTGTTACTTACTACAGTTGTAGGGAGAATCCTGTAACTAAGGAAAGCAACTCAAGCTAAATGGGTCTTTTCACAATAAACACTCGCTGCAGGAAAAGATCACTCTCCTAGGATTGCTCTGAAGAACTCAGTTCTCTTCATCCGAGGAGAGACCTTCAATTTCATCTCTGTCTCCTCCAATTGCCATCCAGAACGCTTTGGCCACCTAAGAACAGGAAAAAAGACAGGAAAGGGAGAAAAATTCCCCACAAAGGACTGAAGATTTTGCATTTACCATCCAAAAGATAGAAACTGAGCAGCAGCTCCATCCAGCAAGCGTGTTTCTGGGTACAGTGCTCTCTGCTTTAGGGAATTTCAGCGACACAGAGGCAAGAGTTTAGAATTCATGGGAGGTGTATGTGACACAGAACTCGTGTTCATTCAGGCATGATCAGATTTTCCTGGAGATAAGGCTTTTCCACTGGCTTCAGTGGAAGCTGCCTTACACCCTCTGTGACTGCAGGGCCTCCACTGCAGAAATTCTGAAAAGGGAAAGGAAAGGTTCTTCTGGTGTTTCAGAAGTCCACGTTTGTTACTCAGTTCTTGGGAGATACCAGACACTCTTCCCTAGGACTGTGCTGTTTGTTCTTACTACTCTTACCACAGGAACTCAAACCATGGCTTAGAAAGGAAAACCCCATTTTTAATAATTTCCAAACCTCACCTTTTCGGCGTGGAGTTTTCTTTGTTCATGAGGCAACGTTGCAGCTTTATCTGTGGAAAAGAACATGACTTAGGTTGTCAACTTCAGGAATGAGCAGGGAGAGAAATCCCTATTGCAGCTGTAGGGGACTACCAAGAAACCAGGTTAAGCTCATAAAAAAGTGCTGGGTTCAGTGTTGGGCCCCTGAGTCCAAGAAGGACATGGAGGTGCTGGAGCGTGTCCAGAGAAGGGAACGGAGCTGGGGAAGGGTCTGGAGCACAAGTGTGCTGAGTTCCCTTGTGGCTGAGGGAACTGGGGGTGTTGAGCCTGGAGAAAAGGAGGCTGAGGGGAGACCTTGTGGCTCTGTGCAAGTCCCTTGGAGGAGGGTGGAGAGAGGTGGGGGTGGGTCTGTTCAACCAAGGCCCAAGGGCCAGGCCAAGAGGAAATGGGCTCCAGTTGTGGCCAGGGCAGTTGAGATGGGATGTGAGGAAGAATTTCTTTGCTGCAAGGGTTCTGAGGCATTGGAAGGGGTTGGCCAGGGCAGTGGTGGAGTCCCCATCCCTGGAGGGATTGAAGAGTCGTGTAGACATAGTGCTGAGGGACATGGGTTAGTCATAGGGGACTTGTCAGTGTTGGGTTCATGGTTGGACTCGATGAGCTTCAAGGGCTTTTCCAATCCAGGCCATTCTGGGATTCCCAGCTCACACACTGGTTTTCATGCCTTTGAGAGACTAGAACAGGTGAGAGCGCTCAGTACATCTCTCCCTGGTTTTTTACCTTTCATTTCTTTCAGCTTTGAAAACAGCCTCTCAAAGTTCTCCAGGTCACTGTCTCTCGTGGTGAGGCTGGCTAACTCTTGAATGTCCGTATCTAACATGGGATCTGAAATAAATGCATACAGGTTGATTTAAGGTAAATTGCTCTGTTTTGTCAGCAGGTAGGAAAGCCTTTCTGATAAAACCAGTATTTTAACATCTGCAAATCCCATTTGGAAATTCCTCCCCCCATAGGAGGGAAAGAAACATTTAATTTACTGATTGTTCACACAAACAATTCAAGGCATCGTTACAGTGGTAATTAATTTTGATCCATTACACTGCAAGAGTGTTTTTGAGTTCATCCAATAGTTAAGGTTTCTTGCTTATTATAAAATGCTTTGCCTAGGAATAGCCCTGGAGTAAATTAGAGTTATGAGACCACAACTAACCACACCCAACCTTTAGATCTCCACATACAACTTGTAGGACAGTCCCATCTCCTGGAATGGTGCAATTATTTAAGGACCTGTAGCTTAAAACACTTGAACCTCTCAGGACTGACCCAAGTAGTGTGTGCTTCGTTCACTTCCTGCTGTGTCAAACTGTAATGATGTTTCTCTGCAACCAGAAAGCTTGAAGCTTTATTCTTCTAAAGATGTTTCTAGATTTACACAATATGTGCATCTGGAAATTTCACAAAATCAAACTGGAAGGTTTCCAGTTGGTAGTACTGCAGAGAAGTTTGTTCAAGCAGGAGAACACCTAAAGTCTAACCAATTAGTCTTTACTAGCTTGGGCAAGAATGTTTATGTCATACTTTTTATTGAGAAGAAGCCAGTGGCTTTTTGGGATGATCCCAGTCAGGAGTGCCTGCTCCAACAGATCTGCTGAGCAGAGGAAGAGCTTACCAACGATGTTGTCAGTCTGCAGGTTGTCTGTGCTAGCTGCATCTTCTCTGTTGTCTAAATGGGATTCTTCTCTGTCTGCTGATGATGGATTGGACTGTCAGGAAACAAACAGATATTAAAGTATCCAAAAATGCACCTAAAAAGCACCATCAGCAAATCAGGTGCTTCCTGTTTTGACTTCAAAAACTTACTCTTTTATCTTAAACTGTGACTTACTGCAAAACATGTACCCTGTGTATGATGCAAAGCCACTTTGCAGCACTGTCAATAGATTCTACATGAAGGTTTTCTCTGATAGGTTTGTTGGTTTTTAAGTAACACTATCAAGTGATAGTTTTTGTTTTGCACAAAATAACGCTCTTGGATATCAATGAAAAAACAACATATTGAATGGAGCTTTTAATAATGTTTCCTTGGCTCCACTGGGTTGTCTGGGGTCAAACATTTACACAGTGCTGAAGTCATTGTGATCAACACCGAACTCTGAGCGCACAATTGGACATCTCCAGGTAAAATGGTGGGCTCTGAGACAACGTCCTGAAAAACAACAAGCTCACAGCCATGAGGTGACAGCTCCTAGGAACAGATGTCTCAGGAGGACATGTAAGAAACATGCAGATAGTTTTTCAGACTTCAGCAATATTTCCTTTAAAATCCATTCTAACAGGCTGTGAAGCATCTCTTGAGAAAGGAGGAAAAAGAAAAGGAAAGTCCCCCACCACCACCACAGCAAGTGTGACAACAGGGAAGAGAAACATGAGAGACAGTACGAGCAGAGAACACGAAATAGGAATTACTGTTTACTTCTGTATCTTGGTTCTCTTCTGACCCCATGCTACAGTTGGCACCTGCTAACGTACTGAGAAGACCGAAGCCCTGGGTCCTGTCTAAAAACAAAACAGCTGTGAGTCTGACAGAAGATGCAATATTATTACAAATATTAATAGAATATTCCAGGCAAGACACACAGCACTGTAGAACTGTGTCAGTGCACTTGAAAAGATATTTTAAGCAGAAATTTTTCATATTCTTTAATATTTTTTAAAATCTATATTAACAATATTTACTGCTCAATATTACCAACAGGGAATAGATGTGTAAGCCACAAGAGATACGAGCTCTTTTTTCCTTCCTATTTGAAGTCACTGCTCTGTTAGGATTTGGTCTGGCCAATGTCTTCTGATTCCAAACAGATTTCAAAATACAGAAGCAGCGTTTGCTGTTACTGACATTCAGGGGACCAGGTTTCACCATCCATGGGAAGCAGCACCGAGTTTGTGGTGAGATACAGGAAATGCAACAAGTGCTTTTGCTTATACACGTGTTGTCTAAATGGGCTGAGCACGACAGTAATGGCAAAGACAAATTTGAAATAGCTAATTCAGAATTCATGGAAAGACCCAGCCATCAAATCCAATGTTTCTTCACTCTGCAAGGTGCTTTTGGCTTTCCACATCTGCTAAACCACTGTGTATTTCAATGGTATTTTAAAATCCAACCTAAAAAAAAAGTGAATTCAAACCTAAAACTCAACAATCATCTCAGATAATAAATGCAGTTCTGTATTTTTAAATTAAACTAAATGTATTTTTAAAACTTTAATTTTAAAATAAAAATACATGCATAATAGGAGACATCATGATGTGTTTTTTTTTTCCTAAGCTATGTTTTCAGCTGGCCTTGCATTGAGTAGTAAATATCTGCAGTTACACAAGGGACTCAGGAGAGTTTTCTGAAAAATCTTAACATTTTAGTCAACTAAAAAAGAAATAACATTAAGTTATTGTACTACAAATAGCCAGGCAACAATAACTTCTGCCAGAAGAAAGATTAATACCACTTTTAAAAAAAAAAATGTGTTCTAAATTATTACACTAATGCCTAAGCTGCAGGCTCAGCTATTGAGATGATGTCATTTTTATGCACTGTCCAAATTTACTTGTCGTTTATACAAAATTTCATCTCCAAGAGCTGAATGTGTAACTAAAACCATCAGCTATCTGGAAAACATGTAAACACGGCTCCATCAGAGCCTCATTTCCTGTTTAATAATCTTCACTGTGTACTGAGGCTAATGTGTGTCCTGTCCCCGTGCTCCTCTCCCCTCGTGCTCCCCCCAGCAGGTATTTGTTTCAACTGGCTCTGGTTTATATGGTTTTACTGCTTCAACAGACCACAGGCCAAAGGCTTGGGAAGAAGTGAATCAGTCTAGCCGAATGAATTGCCTGAAGAATGTTCAGTTGTAAGCCCTGTGGAAGCCCGTGAAGTCTGCCAGTGGCATGAACAGGCAACTGAGTGATAAAAGATTGGGACTTGTGACCCAAACCAAAGTAGCTTCCCCAGGTTTCAGCAAGCTGAGCAAAGAGCTGTCTTCAGCTGTAAAGATCGACACTTAGCCAGTTTCTGAGTCATCTGAAGCAGCTCAGAACGTACTAGAGAGAGAACATTCCCAGGTTGGCAGAGGGGTGGATGGAGTGACCTCATCATGTACCTCTTTTATATCTATTAGAGTTCATCCTGGAGAGAAAAATGACAGTGGCTCCGTCCCCACCACCAGCACATACACATAACCTCAGCCAGCTTCATTCCAAAATGTTGTCCTAGTTAGAAAGAGCTGGAATCTACAGCTGGGATCTCTGCAAAGCAGCTATTTGTTTCTGGATCCGTGGTTAGGGAGGCGGCAGACATAACACTTGGTTGCAGGCACACCCTTGAAAAAGCCTTTCTATAAACTTTTTTTTTATTGGATGTAAAAGTTATTTCAACTTCTGGATGCGATTCAGGAAGTGGGTGATGCCTCACAGTGTTCTTACAGCATCAAAGCCAAAAATTATCTCACTCAACTTATTGTAATAGTTGGTGGCTCTGTTGTGATGAAGTCCACATAGTTTCACAGGTGTCACTTATTGGTCTGTTCAAGGAACAGGTGACAGGACAAGAGGAAATGGGCTCCAGTTGTGGCCAGGGCAGTTGAGATGGGATGTGAGGAAGAATTTCTTTGCTGAAAGGGTTCTGAGGCATTGGAAGGGGTTGCCCAGAGCAGTGGTGGAGTCCCCATCCCTGGAGGGATTGAAGAGTTGTGTAGACATAGTGCTGAGGGACATGGGTTAGTCATAGGGGACTGGTCAGTGTTGGGTTCATGGTTAAGCCCATGAGCTTAAAGGGCTTTTCCAATCCAGGCCATTCTGTGATTCTGTGAAAGTTGCAGAGTTCTAGTTGCTCTGCTCTGAGTGTGGCTTTGAGATTCAGATACGGTCATTTCATAGCAAAATGTTTTCCACTTTCTTGATCTACCATTCTTCCACAGTCTGTTTCTGGCTGTCACAAGGGTGATCCTGACTTGCAATACAAAATTGGAATTAAAAAGTCAAAATTCATGTTCTTTAAACAACTAAGTTTAAATAGTTCCCTTAAATTGGGCTAATTTTGTATAGAGAGAGCCAGGCTAATTACTGGCCCCACCCTACGGAATCAGCTTCAGCTGGGATCACTCAACTCCTATTTAAGCAGGAAAGCAGCCAAGCAGGGTCTTTCAGAGGGCAGTAAGTTGTTTCTGTTCCTACCACCTAGGTCAAGTAGTTTTGCTCTTGAAGGGACAGCTAAGGACAACAGCAGTCCACTACCTTTGTGGGAGGAAGGTGTTAGGTGAAGAATTACTCATGCTCTTCTGCAAAAGGAGAAAAAAACCCCACCTGATTCTCAAATTGAAGAGAGCTCTGAGGCCTGGAGAACCAGTAACTTTATACCAACTGCAAAAGGGAACTGCCTTCCAGAGACTCTCAGGTAAGGCTGCTCATTTTTCTTTTAGTAGAGACAATAGTGCTTTATTTACTCACAAAGCACATGGTATTACTTGATGTAAAATGTTTATAATTTAACTGTGCTATGTTTAATACCTGTTTTCATGAATTGCTGTGAGAATGAATGTATTTAATGGTTCGAGAAAAAAAATCAAAAGGTCAAGAATTTTCTTAATAGGTGTGTGAAAAAGCTACTTTACAACTTAAGAAGAATTGTGCTTGGGTTTAAGATAAATCACCTTAAAATAATAATAGTTTAATGTTTGTACTTGAAAAAAGTCATTCCAGTAAGCTTAAACTCTCATACAAACAGCTCGAGTAAGGCAGTGCTGGAACACTGGCTTTTTAACAGTGCTATAAGCCTCTCCTACTACATAAATATTTTACACTCCATGAAAAAACCTCACATGAAGTATGACTACGTGGTTTCTAAATGGCTAGCAGTTACAAGTAATTCAACAGGAAAACTGAAGTTTGATTTACATGGCAGCCAGTTTCCAGGATCAGGAGGAAACTGAAAACAAAAGATATGTTACAGGTTGTAAAAAAAAGTTTTATTTTAAGTAAAATGAGCTCAACAATTTCCCTTTGAAGGCACAGTCAGGCTGCAACAACTTCCAAATATAGCTCGTTTCCTGAAGGTTTTGTTGTAACGTGCATCAATGCTGTGTGTTTTCTGTACTGTGGAGTTAAAAAAATTTGGATTTTCAAGGAGTCTGACCTTTACTGAATGTGTTAATGATGCACAGGAATTTCCCCCCCTGCAAAGAACTTCACATGTGACTAAGTTCTGTTCTGTAATGTGGCATCTGTTGAATGCAGGAAATATGCTGTTAAGAAAACCCTTTTAGCACTTGTGAGATAACTTTACACCATCTCAGTTACCTATTTCTCCACAATGGTTATGTGAAGTTGGAACCCACCTTAAATCTCGCTCTGATGTGGTATGAGAAATAATCAAAAGGCTATATTTAAAAAAATAAAAATAAAAATATGATCAGTTTAGTAGTTCTCATCCTAGTTCTACTGAGTGGCAGTAACCATCTTGCAGCTACAGGAACTAGCAGAAGCCTCTCAGCACTTGAAATCATTACACAGTTAAAAGACGTAGGAAGGAAGAAGCCACAACAGTGGAAAATTGTACATCAGGGAGCAGACACTGGAAGGTTACTAGTGGGATGAGAATTTGTGAAGAAAGAAATGTTAAGGCCAAGCACTCCACAAAGAGCTTAATCTTCCTACGTTTCCTGCAACAGCTTGTGTCATTAGAAAGGTAATTAAAGGTTTTCAAGTAAATGGAAGTGTCTATGCTTGCAATAACTCCGGGCTAGCCACAGCATTTCCTTTTCTAATGAGTCTAAACCTAAAGTCATTTTTCTAAAATTCTAACTCTACCTGATAATCAATTACCAGCATGAAATTATCTGGAATTGCCTAATTTTTGTACTGCTTTCAAAAAATTCTGTGGTTCCATGTATTCTCATGAGGTTTTCTGTAAGGAGGTCAGTGCTTCTTGCAATGCACTTACTATGTCCTTCAACAGACATCTGAAATCACTTCCTTGCCAAATCTCATCTCCATACTTGTTATTGTCATCCCTGTTTCATTTTTTTTTCCTTAAAAAAAAAAAAACTATAACAAATTTGGAATTTAATTTACTTCTACACTAAACCATTCATCAGTTTTTAGATCAAGCTGATAATAACTAGCTATTTGCTGCTAGAGTTTGGTGGAACAAGCTTGTATTTTTCACTGAAATTTGAAGAGTTAGTAGAATATTTAACTCAAGTTATTGGTAGAGAAGCAGTTAAAGTACAGAGGGAACAGGAATAGATGCTGAAATGGGAATAAATATCACCTGGAAGTTTTTCTGTGCATCAAGGGACAGTGAAAGTAATACCTGAGAACCTACTACTCAACCTGAAAGGTTGAAGAGTGCTCTTAGTAGTTCACCTACTGATGCAGTGGCAGCAGTGCTGTAGCTGCTCAGTTTAAACTTTTGCTGAAGATAGTGAGACCTCTGGGCCTTGTGTTCTGCAGAATTCATACAACAGGGACCTGTGTTACGTACCACTCTTCATGACTACGTTGGACCACACGTTGGCATTCAAAGCTTGTACAATTCGTTTCACTCCGGTGGACTCCGGAAAGTCATCTAAACCAAAAGACAAAGATGTTGTACTCATAACAGTTACACCAAAAATCATTACAGGCCTGGAAGTAAGAAGGTGTGTGTCTGAATGCTTGTCCTGTCTTACTGCAATCGATAAAAAAAATCCTACTTTTGTTTGGAAACACAGATTTCTTGCCTTTGCTTAATGAGAGGACAAACAATCTCAATTAATGCCTCACTTCTTGGTCTAGGCTTCTAGGTATTATGATCTGTGAGCTCTCAGCCTTTTGTAGAGAGATCTAAATTCTGAGTTGGGGTTTTGTTAAATATTTAACATGTTGTTAAATAACATATAAGTAAATTTAATAGTAATAGACCATTTTTAAGTTGCTGTTATAAGCAAGGCATATTTTACCCTGAGATATCTTAGAATGTTGTATGGCATAAAAATAGATCCTAGAAACTTCCTTTAGAAAGTAAAGAACTTAAGACAACCATTTAAAAAAGGTGTGACACTTGTTAAAAATTTAAATTATTCTTGTAAAGCTATGTCCACAGCATCTGACTCCAAATGTTCCAGTAATCCTGTGAATTACAGTAACTTGAAAAAACAGGGAAAGCATTATTCAGATTTTAACTTGCTTAATAGATACGACACTACTTTGTATAAAGTCAGATTTCCCATTTCCTCAGTTTAGTCAGCTTCCCATGTTTGTGCAGGTCTCACAAAGCAACAGGGGCAAAAAAAAAAACCCCAACAAACCTTTGGATACAAAAATGTGATTGCTTAAAAATCAGATTCTTCTAGGATGACTCAGGGACAGGTGCAGTAATTGGAACTGCCTTTAAAAATTAATTTAAAGCTGCCTGTGACCCCTTAGATCAAATATTTTGCCCTCTGTGTTTGGTTTTGTATCACAGTTATCATGGAGAGTCTCAGTTGAGAGTTCTTGTCCTTAATGCACAAACAACTGGCTGTGTAGTCATAGCAAGAGCTCCAGTTCATATGTGCTGAGCTGCCAGAAATGTTAGAATTTTTGAACAGTTGGCCCCTGTTTACTCCATCCATTGTGTCTTTTGTAATTTATACAGCATGTTTATGGGGTAAATATGTTACTCACTGCAACACATTTCCTCCTATGCATGAGTCACAATAAATCAACTACCATATGAAAAATCCAGGAAAGAACATATATCTTAATACTCCAAAGATTAACATCCTGAGTTATTATTCCCATTACTTGTATTATTTAAATACTAAATAGCTTGTTCTTTACAACAATTATTCAATAGAAAAATAACTTGATTTAATGTTACTAGTATTTCCTTTCAAAACACTTTAAGGGCTACCAATTTCCAATCTTTCTGGTTTCTATAAATCAGAAATAAGTGTATTTCTCCTTCCCTGACTAACAAAGTACCAAAAAGAAATGTGTCTTTAAAGATAACAGGGGGAGGAGGGGAGTTCTTACCTACTCAAGATAGAATTTTAATCTAGGTCCTTAAGGGGGGTGTGGAACTTGAGTTCTAGCTTAGAAGACCTTTAGACTAAATTATTTTTGGTGACAGCTACGTACTTGGTGAACCTGAAATAGAGCAAATGTTAGTGACTATTTCCACTGCAGCCTGGAAATGGAGCCTGTTACCTCACTCTGGCTCTACAGAGGTAAGCTGTAAACACTTTTTTTTCATATCACTGAAATGAGGAGATAAGGCTGATACTGATAAGGCTGTTGGGAAATGCACAGTCACTTTTCAAGAGTGGAACATCACACATCACACTTCTGACATTGCTTGATGGGGTTTTTTCCAAGTTATAAACGTATGGTCAGCCAGTGATTTTGAAACTGTTAAAAACATTTTAGACTAGCATGCAGTGTAACACAGGAAATAAACCCATCTCCCTTTTCAGTCTACCATGTCACTGCTTGAATAATGTCTATCTTCTCTTGGAATGTACAGTAGTTTTTAAAGCATGTTTTTTAAAAAGACAAAGAATTTTCCTGCCTTTATGTATCTCTTTGGTTCATGGTTTTCTTTAGATTTATTTCCAAAGTGGAATACAAATGCTTTTAATCTATCAATACAGTCCTAGGATTAGTGCCAGAAAAAGGAGAAGATATTATCTTTTTGTAGGTGCTATATAAACAGCAGCTGTATTTGGGAAGAGACAAATGGAATTTCTTGGAGGAAATAACCTCCTCCTCCTGACCTTTTATAGCTGAGACTAAGCCTCACCAACTGGGAGCATTCCACACTGTAATCATGTAGCACATAAATAAAGTTATGCCCCTTGCAATTGTTTAGAAGATATTTTGGTCTGCTTTTTCAATCTAAAAATTAAAACAGAAGTAGAAATCCTACCATCTTCATCAGGCAGCTCCTCAGGGTTAAGTTCTACCAGTTCAAAGCCATGCTTGATGCACCATTCTTGAGCTTTCTGTCTGTTAACACCTAAAGTTGGGAAACAAAAACATGTACTAAACATACATATTTGAGACTAATATCAGTAGTTGAATCTTTAGTTACATTTTATTCCCTCGAAGTTGTTTGCTTATTCTGGATTGTATAGGGAAAAAGTATAGAGTAGCTGGTGTGGTCACTTTGAATTTGATTCCAAGAACTCCAAAGTTAAACAAACTCCTCCTTTGAACTGTTGGGTTGGTTTTTTTTAAGTACCATAAAATCAAATGGCTTTGCAGTGGGTAATGTAAGTGAAGTTCCACAGTGAATGAAGACTTCTCTTGACTCTTAGGTTTGAATGTGAATTAAGTTTCAGGGACATCTACACCTTGCAGCTTGCTCTCGTATTGCATATGCTAACTTAGAACCAAAGCAAATGGGTATTTAATGTCCAAATGGTCAAAAAAGATGTAGTTTAGCACCAACAGCCATCCTCATTCTCCACCAGAGTGGATCATACACACCCAGTAATATGAATGCCTTTTTAGTTACCTTGCAGTGCATGCTGGTGTACCAGGAATGGGATAGACAGAGCTCATTTTAAGGAAGCTTGTAAAATTCTGATTCAGTTTTAACCACAAGTAGCTTAAGACTTCTGTTCCTGATTATGAAAGCAACCTGGCTCTTCTCAGTCAAGTCTCAAGTCCAGTCTCACACAGGTAGCTTAAAAAATTTTGTTAATTTAACTAGAAAATAAATTATGCTAGGTTAATAATTCTAAGTCAAAGTTAGTAACTCTAGTTTGGAACTTCTTTGGGTTTCATACCATTTTCAGATACTCTGTTACAAACCAGGATCATGACTTCTGGTAACCACTCTTCTGTCAGGGGAAGCCATTCAGAGACACTATCAAGTCCAGATTTCTAAAAGGGAGGGAAAAAGAAGTTCTTTGGAATACATCTTCAAATATTTTAGTTCATAAACTAGCTTTAAATCATTAATAGTGCAAGAATAAAAGCAATGAAGTAAGGAAATATGCTCGGCTGATGATTAATTATGTTTAAGACACTTGTGTTCTCAGCAGAGAAGTTGACTTCTACACAACTTCCTTCTGATTCTTGATTTACCTTACAGATGAGTTAATCCTACTGCCTTGGACCTCCCTTTCATGTTTAACATTAATTATGCAATCCCAGTGTAGATTAGGAAATATTTTTACTTAAGGCTAATCATGAGTATTTCATTTTAGGCATATCTGGTGTTTAATGTGCAGCTACTCCATCTTCCATGCTAAAGTGGATGTTATGGGGGCTGGTAAACTACTCCCATTGCTCTAGTTTATTCTGAGACAGCCCTGAGATGTCTGGTTAAAGGTATCTCTGCAGAATGTGTGGTATGCACCCTTTCCCATCTGTGGTGAAAAACAGTTCCTTATTTAGAAATCTTTTAGTTTTGGGGGTTTTTTTTTGTCTCAGAATCTTTCTGGCTTTTGCTAAAGCACTGTTTTCATTGCCACCAGCTTAGTAGAAACAATTTTGGGTAAAATGATAGCACTGAATCTTATGTTTAGCTTCCTCAACCTTTCTGAACTAGCATCAGCTAGGAGTAAAGTTGGAGGTGGTGGGCTGGAGGAAATTTGCCTAACTTTGTGGCATATTTACATCCTGAAAACCTCCCTTCCAGCTGGATTATGATAGTAAAAGGGAAGGAAACTGCTTCCATTGATAGCAGTTAACATTGATTTACTGACAATTAATAGAACAGTGTAAAAGGAATGGATGGCACAAGGTGAAGAGAATATAATTTGTGGTTATCACTGATAAGGCAACTACATCATCCAAATAAAGCAAAATGATGAAGCAGAAGAGCCTTACTATCGTGCTGTCGAAGTACACAACAAAGGCTTGCACAGATTCAGCAATATCTCCAGTAACAAGAAATGTGTTTGGTACCACACAAAGGTGAATATCTGCAGAATAATATTTATTGTCTATTGTCCAGGGGTAAAAATTCACTCCTCCACTTGTAGTTGCACCCACAGTGAGGTCATCTTTTCCTGTGATACCTGCATAAAAGAAAATGAATGAGATAGATAAAACCAGCAGCAAGGAAATAATTTGTCTAGAAAAGCTTGGTACAATGCCAATACAGAGCCATCTTTACTTACTATAATAAAACTGTATATATTTACATTCTTTAAATATTTAAACTCAATTTGTTACTCTGTCCTTGAGTTTATTATTCAGAGTTTATTATCTAGCCTTGAAAATAAAATATGGTATGGAAGCTCTTCAGAAAGCAAGCTTTTTTTTTCCCTGGAAATGCTTTTTAAAGTGTTAGCCTCAAACTCACTACCAGTAAAGTGGATGTATGGAGACAATACCCAGACTTTATTACAGCAGAAACAAACCCTGCATGTTCACTCAGATGTAAAGAACTGTTTGACTGTGACCAAAACCTGAAGGTAACTAACGAGAAAATAAACCAAGTTACTACAATTCAGTTGTAATTCCCATTAAATTCCAGGTAGGAGCTCGACAATTAAAATCCAAGGTAGTGCTTTGATAATTTAACATTAAACACTTGTCCTTGGTGTGCTGGGAGCGACCTCAGCGCACGCTCATAGCGTGACAGCCACCTGGTGGAGTTGAATTATAGTTGGTAGCAGAGAATCCCATCTATACCTCGCTGGAAAGGGCAGAATATCTTGTTCAAGCTGGACAAACCTATGAAAACTTTAAAACACAGGTCAGTTATGTATTAAATTGAGTTATCTCCTTGGACATCAGAAGAGTTAGGAGAAAAAAAAAAAAAAAGGAATAAAGTCTGGGTTTTTAAAGATCTTAAGGGTCATATTTTAAAGGTATTGAGACAGTTTCTGCAGATGCTAGAACAAATTGTTCCCCAAATAGTTGAACAAGTTGAAATTATCTGTATCTTGTCAATAAAAAGGCAGGAAAAAAAAATCATTGCCAAGGTTGCCATAGAAAGGTTCCATAATTTTTGCAACTAACTGCAAAGTTGGAGAGATCTAACTGGTGAATGAGAATGGTGCATAAGGCAGCACAGAGGAGAGCTCTGAACCAGAAGAATCATCATTTTCAGCAGTGTGGAGGAGGACACAGGGAATCTGAGGGAGAAATCTGACCTCAGAAACAGAAACCTGGGAGGGAATCTCCTTTCTGAGTTTCTTTAATTAAAAAAACAACCCACCACATCTACATGTTTGGGGTTTTTTTCCCAGGTTAAGAAAGTTTGACTTTTTAATTTGGATGCCAATAGTTTTCAGAGTCATTGGACTTCAGTCTGTGATAAGATTTTCCATGTCACCTTGGGGGATGATGATATTGAGTCAATATCAAACAAACCTTGATTCTGAACTTCGTATTCTTAGAGCACTCAGTTGTTCGTATAAATATGGAACAGACTAAAAATACAGCTCACCAAAATCAGTAATCTTGGATGATTTTCATTCTTTCACAGCTTTTTTAAGTTCTAGTGGCACACAGAAGCTGTTTTCCCATTATTTTCTCACACAAACTTGTATACCTGGATCTCCACTTGCCCTGCAACACCTCCTAGTAATATTGTAGTCACTTTGCAGCAGGTATTTCAATCCTGTTTGCATTGGCTGATATTAAACTGTACTGACATGAAGCTAATATCTATGCACCCATCTTCCAGGGAAACACAAAAACAGCTTTTCAGTTAGTTTGAAACCCAAAGCATTTCAATTTAGGCTATACAAATACATCAAGTCTACTCTTCCTCAAAAAAAAAACCAACACAAAAAAACCTCCCCACAAATAATTAGCACAACACATCATGAAATGATAGCATGTCACTTCAGAAAATAGAGCTTTAATGTATATATTCTATTATAATAAAGGCATTTTGGCAAATGACAAGTTATTTTTTTGCTGCTATAAAACAGGAGCTTTAAGAATGACTAGTTAAGTGCTATGCTTGGTATAATTTAGTTTGGTATCTTTGGTAAACAGGACTGTATTTAATATGTGCTGATTGCTACTGGAATAAGAATTTTTTAAATGGATATTAGGGCTAATGGAGGTAGTTTGCACTCTGCTTGGACATAATATGACAAAATTCCAGTTACTGGGAAAGTAAACAGGTTAGGCAGATAATATCACTGTGCATGTCCAAAACACAGGGATACTTTTCCTTTTCACAATTATCTGTTGCCTAGCTTTTTAATTAATTTAAATAATTTAATTTTCTGCCCTGGAAACCAAATGTTTTGTTTGGAGGTTTTGAATGCTATATAAAATCTGCTAGAAATTGATCTTCACTAGTGGTTTAACAGTTAAATAACTAAATAAAAATCAGTTTTAAGCTAACAGAATTGCAAGTCGATGCTACAAGAAGTTAAGAATAAAGGAGCCTGCAGAAATTATTGGAAATTAAATTATTGAAACACAGAAAACTGGCAATAAGACTCAAAGCCAAAGGGAGGAAAACAGGGTGAGGAAAGGAAAGGCAGTTCAGAAGTTTTCTTTCATCCCATTGTGCTTCTGATTGCCCATTGTTCATTCAAAGAGACTTTTGCCAATCCCCTGTGAAATTTCTCTCCCAGTAAAAGTGGATGTTGCACACTCAACTCAAAGGGCTGCAGGGATTCCTGAAAGGATTTGGACTTGCTGTATCTCAGCCTGCACGTAGAGGTTGTAATAAATAACTGCAAAACAGCCTGATTGCTCATGGCAGGAAACTAAATGCAGTTGGGGTGTCTGGTGAATAGTTCTCTTCCACAAAAGTCACTCAGACCAATTAGTTTTTGGCTTTTCGAGTAAACAAGCAGAGACTACAAAAGAAATAGACACTGCAACTCCAACTGAGTTGTTAAGGATATATTCCATGTTGGAACTGGTTTTAAGGATTATATTTGCCACCTCTAGATTCCAGGAATTTCTTTCTGAGACAGCCTGTATCGTAATCAAAAAAACTAAATTCATCCAGAATAGTTTCAGATCTGATTTAGAGAATATTCAAGTTTTATTTGGATACAGAATAAACATCTAGAAAGTTAATGTGGCAAAAGGAGGTGACTCTTCAAACTTATCTCTAGTGAGTTACTCATTTTTAATTTTAAACTCCCCAGCCATTGAAAGTGTCAGTGGTTTGCCATCCAAAGAGCCTGGAAAACCAACTGAGTCACTCTTTGACCACAACAGTAGGCAAGGCCTACAGGGCTGGCTTAATTAGCCTGGCTTCTTCACAGAGCAGAAGTGGCTTGTTTGGATGACAGGAATGCAAACAGACTCCAAGTGCATCACTATTAAAGAATACTCAAAACATGCACGGAAAAGTTCATGCCACAAAAGAACATTTGCTTAGTGTCATTTAAAAACATGATTTAGAGTTCAAGGTCTTCTAAGAAATACCACAAGTACTAATGCTGGATGCTTCTTTTACTGAAATAACTTTAGCAATCTTACCAATAACTGCTGAATATTAATTAAGACACCCTGTATTTCAGCATCCTACAATTCTCTATAAAAGTACTTTGGAGCAATAGATCCCACAATTCTATATAAAAATACTTTGGAGCAATAGATCCTACAATTCTATATAAAAATACTTTGGAGCAATAGAAGCTTTTCCACCTACAGAGCATTATTTGAGGTGAGGGATCAAACAGCCACTTCTAAGCCAGCTCCAGTATCATCTTTGGGTCGTTACCTCCTGCATGTATTGGCACTTTTCACCTGTGCAACCTCCAAAGCCTCTGTACTGACACTGATCGATGCTGAGATCACATTTGTTGGACACAGAATTTTCTTCCTCTAGTTTATCCCACTTCATGACTTGCTCTGTCTCTTTTCTATCAGAAATCATTTGAAAACAAAACAGCAACTGACACACAAGACCAGTTTGTGGCTCAATCCAGTAACTGATGGTGACTGGTATCGTATCACTCAATTAACTTCCAAACTTTGGTGGAATCTGTTCAGAAAAGGAACCTTCATGAAAAGGTTTTTTACTTCTAGGCAGTGAATCAGGAGTTTGTTTTTCAGCAGATTCATTAGTTGTGTCCTTTCTTCACCAGCAGCTATAATTTATAATACATTGGATAAAATTCTGAGCAATACTCCTGGAAATTAATTTCAGCTATCTATTTACATAAATGTTTGCTCATTTTACTGATTTAAACTTGTTGATTTTTAATTTCATGAGCTTGCCTATAGACAAGAGAAATTAAACAGTGGTTCAGAAGACAAGGAAGAGGACATGGAAAAATTGTAAAGCCATAACATCCACTCCCTTTTATAGTGATACAGAGGCTTAGTAAATATTCTGTAAGTACAAGGCAGCAAATCCTTTTTCACAAGGAGAACTGGAGACCAGAAATAACTTTTCAGAAGAGAGCTGAATAATAATCAAAGAACCAGATGTAGATCTCTTTTTCTCTTGCAGCAGTGTTCCCTCTTCTCTAATACCCAACTGATATTTAAGCATTTCTACTATATTATGTGTTTAATAGTAATATTTTTTTCTGAACCATTAGAACTCCTCTTTGAAGGCTTTTTTGTGTTTTGTTTTGTTTTTCCCAAAAGGGATTAAGGTCTCAATCACTCTTCCTAGTGTTTTCCAGATTGAATATATGCTATAAGAACATCATTCAGTTTTCTCCAATGCCCTAAATGATCCCAAGTCCTCTTGGTTGGTAGGTACACCAAGTAGTTCTCACATTCTGGGCCTTGAGAGCCACCTGGTGGAATACACCATAAAAAATAACTCCTGCCAGTTACACAAGGAGTAAAGAGAACTCAGAAATATGCATTTAGCATAGATATTTTGCTGTTTGGGAGGAGGGGAGTGGTAAAGAGTCAAAAAAGGAGGAAAAAAAAAAAAATCAAACAGCCATCAGACAGTAGTTATCTGTTGACCAGCATTTTTAGAAACTAAAACAATCTTACTTGCTGTTTTAATTTGATAAATATATTTAAGAGAAGAGACAATCCTATGAGTGCATTTTTAAACAGCTTTGTTTTGCCACAGTATCTAATGAAATAAAGCACTCAAGGCATCCCACAGAAA